TCCACCTGTGTGTTAGCTAGGTGTAGATTTGGGCTTCTTTTTCCACGTGATTGTGGTGATTTTAGCTGGTTTTATTTCATGGAGAAACTCCAAGTGAAAAAAACTGATCATCCCTGAGCTGCTTCAGCTGCAAATGGATGTGTGAGCTGTGTCATTCCACTAGCATGGAGTTGGTGCTTGTGTCAATGCAACCCTTTACATCCCCAAAAATGAGGAGTGGTCAGCAGGGATGGGAATGGGTGAGGGATTCAGAGCAGGATCCATGACAGGAGGGAGCATGGAGCAACTCATGGCAAAGCAGGGAGCAGCTGGAGGTGTTGGTGAGCTCCTGGACAGAATTTCCTGCTGTTCTCAGGCCAGATTCAGTCTGTGCATTCTTAGGAAGGGGAATATACTCCATGGGATGTGTGGTGACTCCCCAAGGGACCAAGCAGAGGGATGAGAGAGGAGCTGAGATCACAGCATGGTGAGAAGCTAACCCAGAGCAATGCCATGCCCAAACCTGCTGCACGTGGAGTTCAGGCTGTCCTGAAGTGGAGGTGATCTCAATTCCTGTGTTCCCAGGTGTATATCCTACCCCCAAAGTAGCTGGCACTGCCACCTGAAGCTGTCCCCAGATGTCACAGGCTGTGATACACCAACATCATCTCCCTGCTGCACATTGCAATGTGCAGATTGCTCCCCCAGGCCAATGTCATTAGCTGCTGGTGCTGATTTTGCCTCTCCCACTGCTCTCCTGGAGCCTCTCCCACCTGTGCCACATCTCACAGCTCACCTTTCCCTTCCTCCTCATGCTTCTTCCCTTCTCCAGGTGCTAGTGGCATCCTCTCCCTTCCCAGCAAAGCCCCAGGGCATGGCTGTGTGCCTAGGAATCCCAGCACACAGGCTAGAGGGAGTATTTTGGGGAGGGAAGTGGTGGGATTAGGTTTGCCAAAGTCTGTTATTGGCACAGTCCATGCAGGACCAGGTCCTTGCTGCTCCTCTTTTTGTAAAATCAAACCAGTGTAGGAGAGAGGGAGTTCTGCTTCTTTTCCAGAGGCTTCCACCCCCAAATTGTGTGGGGTTTTGGTGGTTTTTGGTGCATGGGGTCAGTGATGACACTGTTAAGATCATATTCTCAGTCCTGTGAACAAAGGGAACGTTTCTGCGTGCAGAGCCCAGATGTGCTGCAGGACTATGCTTAATATGGTTTCTTCGTTAAGGAAGAGCTTGGGCTTAGCTGAGGAGCAGTAGCTGAGGATCAGTGACACCCCAGCAGTGTTACCAACCCCCTTTACCTACCCCTTAGGAGTTCTGCTGAGACAATGCACTCCCTGTCCCACCCGAAGTCCTGGGAGCCGCTGCCACTCCTGCCGCAGCCTGCTGACACCCCCCGTGGCCAGGAGGGAACTTCTGCTGCACCTCTCGCCCGGCTCTAAACCCCTCCACTGAAATCAGGAGTGCTAAATCCCTCCAGGTATCCCCGGGCTCCTCCTCTGGATCAGTAAGTGGTCTGAAAACTGCTCAGGTGGCTCAGCACCGCGTGGTGTAGGCAGGACACAGCCACTCACCCCTGGGACACGTCACCAGGGGCATCTTTTCAGTCCTTCTTCACATCTAGTCCCAGTCTCCGTTGGTTCTGGAGGTGTGAAGGGCACTGCTAGGTCACCCACACCCACCTGAATTCCAGAGGTTGGAGAGCTTGGAGTTGTTCTGCTCTGCACAGCTTTTCCCCTCTGCATTCGAGGATGTGATGATCATCAAGGTTGGAAGAGACCTTTAAGGTGGTGGATCTGCTGGTGCTTGTTTTTCCAGCACTGCTCATTAGTTGCTACCCTCACAGCCCCAGTCCCACATGTCACTGCTGCTTTTCCAGGAGGCAGAATGGATTCTGCTGGATGTGGACTGGGATTCACTGATTTGCAGAGGTGCACGTGTTTGGATGAGGCAGAAGATAATCCTGGGGAGTTTGACTTCCATCCAGAAAGTTTTAGGGTGGTTTTATTCTTGGAGAAAACACTTCTTGTTTACATGCAGAATATTCAGAAACTCAGTTACTGTGTTTGGAAACCAAAGTGTTTAAGAAGAAATCACTTTGTAGGGGCTGAAGTTATCCCTAACCAGGGATAAGACACCAGTGCAACCTTCAGTTTCCAAATCTTGGTTTGCTGCTCTGTTCTTACAGCTAAAATTAAAAAACCTCCATAAAACCAACCAAGACAACCAACTCTTTATCTGATTTTATAAATCTGACAGTGTATGAACTTCAGGGTGTTTCACTTTTGCATTGCATCTTCAGAAAATCACTTCTTTTTTGAGTAAAAATCAAAAGAGGATTTTTCCAAGTGATTAGATTTGATCATTTTTCATAGTTAAGGAGTCATGGTAACATTTCTGTAAGGGAGCCAAGGTGCTGCTGCAAGTAGAAATAGAAAACTGAGGCATTTTATCATCATTCTGCTGGTGGTTTGAGACAACTAGCAGCCAAGTCCCTCCAGCTCACTCCCTGCCCCGTGGAGTGGGGAGAGAATCCAAAGGGTAACTGTGAGAAAATGTGGGGGTTGAGATCAGCAGTTTCATAGGTAAGGCAGAGCAAAACAAGGAAATCATTCCCTACTTCCCATGGCTGGGAAAACAGGACTCCATCACACCTAGTGGTGACTTGGGAAGGCAAATACATCACTCCCAACATTCCCTCATCCTTCTTCCACAGCATTATACCCTGACCATGACACCTTATGGTCTGGAACATTACCTGTTCCACAGTCTCCAGGTTCTCTATGTAGGTCTCTAAACTAAACCCCAATTTCTGTTACTGAGTCCATCCCCACAAAGTGTTGGCTCTTTGATGATGTTTTCCTAAAGGTGAGGTGGTTTTGGTTGCACATCCTGTTGTTTGCTCTGTGTTCTGCATCACTTGTTATGTTCTTCTGAGCCCACAGGCTGTGGCTGCCTGGTCAGGAGGGTGGTGGTAACCCATCATTCCTCTTTACATGGTACAACAATATTCCTGGGTGGATAATCCATCAGGGATCTGATACAGAATCATTAAGTTAGGACTAATCCTGACAATTCGTTGTTAGGAACTGCAGTGACAGGACAAGGAGTAATAGGGATGAATTGAATGAGGGGAAACTTAGGTATTAGGAAGAAGTTTTTTTTAGACCTTAGAGCCCCTTTCAGTGCCTCAAGGGGCTCCAGGAATGCTGAAAGGGACTTGGGACAAGGGATGGAGGGACAGTATACAGGGAATGGCTTCCCACTGCCAGAGATCAGGGATAGATGGAATATTGGGAGGAAATACTTCCCTGTGAGGGTGGTGAGACACTGGCACAGGTTGCCCAGGGAAGGAGTAGATGCCCCAACCCTGAGTGTTCATTCCAGGTTGGATAAAGCCTTGAGCAACCTGCTCTGCTGGGAGATGTCCCTACCCAGGGCAGGGGTTGGAACTAGATGACCTTACGGTCCATTCCAGCCCCTTAACATCCTATGAAACTACAGTTTGGAAAAGACCTCCAGGATCAAAACTTCTCAGACCGTAAACATGAACCTTTGGGTTGTTGTGGACAGAAATCACAGGAAATACAAATGTTGCAGCTGCTGTTTCAGTTCTGGTAATGACTAAGCAGAGTTCAGTTTGGTTTTGCAGCTCTGTTCCAGTTGTGTGTCTAATCTTGTGAAGTGTCTCTTTCTCCCAAGATGTGAGAAGTACTTAGAGCTCTCTGGACTCCAAAAATACATTTACAGCCCATTTATAGCTGCAGAAAAGGCACAGTTTGGCTTCAAAGGGTCATGCTCCTCTCCTGCTAAGCACCTGTAAATAGTGATTTGTGATGCCTATGCATGATGTGACCAATTTTGGGGTTGGTTTATCTCAGACCAAATGGTTCATCAGCACTTTGGGCTCATTAAGAATGGATTGGCTCCAAATTTGGGGGAATTACTCCAGTTGTTGGCCATTAAATAACAAGTGAACATCTGTGGAAGGGAAAAGCCAAACAGCTCTGGGCTGTTCTGGAGAGTGTTGGGTGTTATTCCTAGACAAGGAATTGCTGAGTAAGAAATGCCTCCCTGGAAGAGGATCTTCAATCTTCTCCATGTGGGTCATGACTGTCATCATCTCTCAGTGAGAGTTTAATCCCAGCCAGGTTTGAGGAGGTGTTTGTGTACCAGTTCCTAACCACCTACTTCCAGCAGGTTCCTGGGACTCAGCTCCCCTCAGGCTGCAGCATTCCTTCCTTTCACCCAGGCCACCTCAGTGGGGTTTGAAGACTCTTAATTCACAGCAGATCCAAATCAAAATCTGCTTTTGAAAGACCAGAAAAAAAAAAAGAAGTAGTTGCATAGTCAAGCTAAGACTTGTGACACTTTCATGGTGCATAGCTGAGGGTTGAAATCCCAATTAGTCATCCCTGGTGTGAGAAAGGTGAATTCAGGTAATGAAATGAAGCTCCTGAGAATTCCCTAACCCAGACCACACTCTGTGTCCCTCACTGATGGGAATGTTCTCAGTTTAACTGGAAGTTACCACATCAGGATGTGTTGCCATCACTAATTCATTTCTGGATCTAAACCACTTTGGCTTGGGTGGTTAAAATCTTACCTCATTTCCTGATTTCTGCCGCATTGTAGCAAATATTTGTTATTTCAGTGTCCTTTGTGCTGGTTTCTGTGTAGGTTTAGGGGTCTACACATGGGTGAGGCACAACGTGGGCACCAACACAACTGTGTTTGCAGTTTTCTCCTGCTCCTTGTCAAGATATTCACAGGGAATTGTCTGCTGTTCTTCCTGATTTCTCTCCATCCTCCAATTTCTGGCCTCTGGAAATGCCAAGGTGTGAGGGGGAGGAATTGCTCAGCACTAACAAGGTGAACTATCAAAGTTCCATGAGCAGAAGTGTTGGTATCCAAGTGTTGCTTATACTCCCAGGGAATGAGGGTGGTGTGTCCTGTGCTAATTCCAGCTCTGACCTGATGCTTGTCTGAGGAATATAAAGCAGCCCTATTTTTATCTTGTTTAGAAATTGAAAAAATTCAGAAGGGGGAAACAACAAAGAAGGATGAGGAGGAGAACTACCTGGATTTATTTTCCCACAAGAATATGAAACTGAAAGAACGAGTTGTGATCCCTGTCAAACAGTACCCCAAGGTGAGGGCCAGAAAAAGAGCTTTACTCAACCTGTCGTTTGCTTATTTGCTGTGGATTTTGTGGCTGTCAAAAGTGTCAGCAGGAGTTAATCCAGTGTTCCACCACAGCTGTGGAATTTTTTTTTTCCTCTGCAGGCTTTGTAGGATCTCATTTCTAATATATCACATTTCTGGAATTTCTTGGGATAAAGCTAAATGGTGATGTTTAGCTCAGAGTTTTTCCTGCTAGAATAGACACTTCCATATGCAGAGCTTTGTATCTTGCAGTTTAAAACTTATTGAGCTCGTTAAGAGTTGCCTGTAAAGCTGCTGCAGAGTAGAATTCAACACTTTAAACACTCAAAGGGAGTTAATTAAGCTTAATTGTTTGGTGGAGCATTTTTTTATGGAAAATGTTTGGAAACTTGAATTTTCCTGTGTATTTTTGGTCGAGTTTTTTGGTGAGGGATTTCAGGAGAAAAGGGAGTGAGTGATTTATTTTAATTTTTTTTTTTGTCAGCCAACAAAACATTCAGGAAAGTTTTTGTTAATGCTGTTGAGCTCTGGAGCTAATTTGTTTTTTGTTATTTTCTTCCCTTCCAGTTCAACTTTGTTGGAAAGATTTTGGGACCTCAAGGCAACACCATTAAAAGACTTCAGGAAGAAACTGGTGCTAAGATATCTGTGCTGGGGAAAGGCTCAATGAGAGATAAAGCCAAGGTAAGGACACACACCTCATTTCTTCCAGGGGGGGAATAAGTGGCTCTCAAAGCATTTGATCAGAGATTAAACCATTGAAATCCCAAAGCAAAGCAGTGGGAATTGTCCTGTGTGTGTTGGGAGAAGCCTGGACTGTGTGTTTGGGAGGATTTGGGGACATCTTGTGCTATCCTGAGCCCTTGGCTGCAGAGATAGCTGATGTGAAAGATGAAATATGAAGTTCATAAAACAGGAGTTAATCCCAGCTACTCCCTGAAGAGTCATTCACTAAAGGAATATGTTTCTCTTCCATAAAAAAAACCTCCTTTATTTCAGCTGTTCCCTCTGAAATCCTTAAACCCTGATGGTTCATGGAAGATGTTGGATGTTCCTGGTAATCTTTAATGAATCACAAAGTGCCAAGAGGTGGTTTTTTCACAGAAAAAAAAAAGAAAATAATGGGGTTTTTTTCTTCCTGCTTATTCCCCCAACTGAGCTCACAGTCACCAGAGCTGTAACCTAATTCAGATTTTGCTTCAGCAGCATAAAAAGCTTTTACACTTGAGCTCGTTTGTAGCCTCTTGAATAACTAAACAGTCTGAAAAACAGATACCTAAGAGCAGAGTTAGAGAAACTTGTTGGAGCTTCATGAAGTGGTGCAGGAGCACCTCAGGCAGAGAGGTGGTATGGAAGAGGAAGAGCAGTGCTTGGATATGAGTGTTCTGGGATAGAACATGGAGTGACCTCAATGCAGCAGCAGAGTAGAGGCAGCTGGGAAAAGGTGGAAGGTGTCGATTACATGTGGCTTGTAAAACTCTATATACCCATGATCTGTGGCCAAAATGCTTTCACAGGCAGTTCCTGTCAAGGCTTTAGAAAATAGACAACAGAAAAGTAGTTTCTCTGCATCTTAGCTAGAGTTAGGACTCTCTGATGTGCTTCATTCCAGGAGGAAGAGCTGCGTAAAGGAGGAGACCCTAAATATGCTCATCTCAACATGGATCTGCACGTGTTCATCGAGGTGTTTGGCCCTCCCTGTGAGGCTTATGCTCTGATGGCTCATGCCATGGAGGAGGTCAAGAAGTTTCTTGTTCCAGTATGTATGCTGCCAACCTTTGCTTTTGGAAGGAGGTGAATGGGTGGTGAATCTCTCAGGATGGGTAAGGTTGGCACAGGGGAAGCTCAGACTGCAGGAGCTGGTGTAGCTCTGAGGAGTGTGGAAGCTTCACATGACCCTGTTAACCTTCCATGAAGGCAGTTAGTATTCCCCTAACCATAATTAGAAAGAGATACACTTAGAGGGCAATGGTATGGAGCACTTGGATTTCTCTCCCAGTAGGAGCTGGTAGCTTGTCTAGCTCCATGTGCCAGTTTTAGTGGGAGAATTAAGTTTAGCCATGTCATAGTTTTTTAGGGGTTGGAATGGAGCATAGAGATCATCCAGCCCCAACCCCCTGCCCTGGGCAAGGACACTTCCCACTAGACCAGGATACTCAAGGTTTTATCCAGTCTGGAATGAACATTGCCAGGGCTGGGGCTGCCACAGCCTCCCTGGGCAACCTGTGCCAGTGTCAGGCATGGGAGAGCCTTCTTGGATGGATTCCTCTGACTTGGAACTGAATGTAGAAATCCAGCTGGAAAACTTCCTTGTCAGGTCACAAACTAAGGACGGAGAGTGGTGTTTGCTCTGCTCTGAAGAGGAGGTGTGAGGTTGAGAAGGGTGACTGCCCAGGCAGCTCAGGAGTGTTCAGTGCTGTGACTGTTTTCTGAGACCTGTTAAATCAGCATTTCTCCTGCTTTAAATGTGTGGATGAACCTCTTTTTGCTAACGAAGCATTTATACAGGTGCCACTTGTCACCTGCTTGGGGATGTCTTTTACTGGTCAACTTTATTTGTGCCTTCATGGCAGTTCTGTGCCAGGACTGTGCTGGGATGGCAGAACTTGGAGGATTCTCTCACATGTTTTAAAATGAGTGTTGTTCACTAAATCAGGGAAAAACAAGATGGGCAAGAACCAGGCAGTGCTCCTGGCAGGTAGAGAGATGACTATCCCTCAGTGCTGCGCTCCACAGGAGAGCTTGGAAGTCCTTCCTGAAGCACCAGGGGTGGGTGGAACTCGGGAGTGTGGAGCAGCATATGGATGCTGTGTGATTTCCTGAGTCTGACACAGAGGGGGGAGGAGAGATTGTGATGTGAAGTGTCTTTGAAGGAAAGAGGTCATCTTCAAGGAGCCCCCGGGACGAGCAGAAGCTCAGCTTGCCAAAGCAGGCGCTCAGCCTTGCTATTTAAAGTGTCTTCTCTAGCTCTGCCTTCAAACCATGTGTTAAACTGGGGAAAATTGACAGAGAAGTCACAGTGGAAGTCAGCAGTGCTGTGAAGACACATCTGGTAGGAGACTCCTCACTTTGTGGTGTTGCCATGGCACTGGGAAGACCCTGGGTGTGAGGCTCAGCCTGCTCAGGGGGTGGGGTGTGCTGAGGTCACCAGGGATCTGTGCTAATTCCTGCCACTGGATGCCCTCAGGCCTTAGGAACCAGAGCCATCCTGCATTCTGAGGGTTTAACAAACCAGCTTGGATTTGCAGATGGCTGTTTGCTCTCATCAGGCTGCATCCTAACCCCTTTCCTTTGGGAATGGGGGCACAGCAGTGTGCTGTTCCCTTCTGTGGGCTCATTGCCTCTTGCCTGTAAATGGAGCTGTGGGGTGAGATGTGTCTTGCCTGACTTCACCTCTGAGCTCTCCAACCCTTGCACACAAATCTTGCCAACATCCCTGGGATGCCAAACATCAGGAACCTCTCTGTGGGAACTCCTGGAGACACAGTGCTGTGGGCTTGGAGAAAGCTGCAGTTGTGACCTGTTCCCCCCCTGAGCAAATGCCAGCAAAGCTAACAGCAGGTTTGAATGTAGGATTTTCCAGTTATTTTCATTCCAGCAGGGTAGCCTGGGGTATCCCAGAGCACAGACTGGCTAA